TCCCTAATAAAGCACAATTCCTTATACTCCTCCCGGATGCAGTCACCTCCGAGGGGCAGGGAGATACAGAGGTAAACTGAGGAATGGCTGCTCTGGATATGCGTGGGCTGCACTTCTCTCCGGATTGGTGCCCAGCTGGTCCTGCTCCCTGCCCCGGACCCCAGTTTCCTTGCGCTATCTTATCTCCCTCTCAGGTTGGAGCGGTCACCTGACTTCCAGAGTGCAGGTTGGACTGTGATGCCTGGTGTGGCAAGGCTTCCAGGCAGGTCTGGACCTTGGTCTGACTCTTTCTCACAGATCCTGTGTTTGGGCTCTTATCCTCCTCGGAAGGATTTCACAAAAGAGGAGACAGTCTCCTTAGTGAATTTGAGGAAACACGACTTCAGCAGTATTTTCAAGTCAAAACATTTGGGTGCTGTTTTTACCTACTAGCTTTAGATTTGGAACATAATACACTTAATGGTTTTTTTTTTTTGTTTTTTTTTTTTTTGAGACATGGTTTCTCTGTGTAACTTTGTGCCTTTCCTGGAACTCGCTCTATAGTCCAGGCTGGCCTCGATCTCCCCAAGTGCTGGGATTAAAGGCATGAGCCACCACCGCCTGGCTACATTTAATATTCTTTAGTGCACAGTTTACCTTAAGTTGCCGTCCATCATGAGCTGAAACAATCTCCCATTGCTTTGGAGTATTGGGAGGAATTTCCAGAGAGCTTTGCTTTTTAATTTTTTTTTTTCAAATTGTGGCAGTATAGTTCATATAAAAAATTCCAAGTGACTTAAAAACATTTTATTGTGTGTGTTTGTGCGGTGGGGACACGTGTGTCATGGCACCCCTATATAGATCTGAGGACAACTTTCTAGAGTCCGTTTTTTCCCCCTTTATTTGGGTTCTGGGGCTATAACTCAGGTTATCAGGCTAGGTAGCAAGGGCCTTTACCCAGTGAGACATCTCCCTGGCCAAATTTTACCTGTTTCTGTTGGTTGCTTTTTTTGAGACAGGGTCTTTCCATATAACTCTGGCTGGCCTGGACTCACTATATAAACCAGGCTGGCCTCAAAACCACATAGATCAGTCTGCCTCTGCCCTTTGGTGCACTGCCACACCCAGCCATTTTAACCGGTTTTTAACTGTACAGTTTATTGGCATTAAGCATAGTCACATTATCACCACCTTCCATTTCTGAAACCTTTTCATCTCCCAAAATTGAAACTTCCACATCTATTTAAATAATCACTCCCACCAGATGTGGTGGCTCATGTTTTAGTATCAGTTACTCAGTAGGAGACTGAGGCAGGGGAATTGCTAGTTCAAGGCTCACCAGATTGGTCGGGCAACATGTGAGACCCTGTCTCAAAATAAAAATAAAATTTTTTACAAGGATTGGGGATGCAGCTCAGTGATGGAGAAAGGATTCCATCCCAGTCCTTTCCCGGTCCAAATCCTCAAGTGCCTGGTAATTGCCATTCATTCCACATTCCCTTTCCACAACTGAATATTCTAACACTTCATGCAAGTGAAATAATATTTGTTCTTTCTTTCTTTCTTTCTTTTTTTTTTTTTTTTTTTTTTTTTTTTTTTTTTTTTTTTTTTGCTTTTCAAGACATAGTTTCTCCGTGTAACAGTCCTGGCTGTCCTGGAACTCTCTTTGTAGACCAGGCTGGTCTCGAACTCACTGAGATCCTCCTAACTCTGCTTCCCAAGTCCTGGGATTAAAGATGTGCCACCACTGCCCAGCATATTTGTTCTTTTATATCAGGCTTATTTAGTATAATGACTTCAAGCTTAATCTGTGATGTAGCATGAGTAAAACGTTCCATTTTTATTTTTGCATTTTTTTTTTCCAGACAGGGCCTCCGTGCAGTCCAGGTTGACTTCATACTCACTATGTAGCCCTGGCTGGTCTGGAACTCTCCCACTGCTGTAGGATCCCAAATGCTGGGATTGCAGATGCACACCACCACTGTTGGACAACTTTTCCTCCCTTTTTTTCAAGACAGGGTTTCTCTGTGTAGTTTTGGTGCCTGTCCTAGATCTCGCTCTGTAGACCAGGCTGGCCTCGAACTCACAGAGATCCTCCTAGCTCTGCCTCCCCAGTGCTGGGATTAAAGGCGTGCGCCACCTCTGTCCAGCATTTTTCTCCCTTTTTAAGGGTGGGCAATGTGCCTTGGTCTCTATTGTCTATACCCATCACTCTTTGTTCATCCATCATTTGCTGGTAAAAACATGGGTTGTGGTAATTGTGAATGATGCTGCTACAAGCAGGGGTAGTGTGTGTGTGTGTGTGTGTGTGTGTGTGTGTGTGTGTGTGTGTGTGTGTTTCCTAATCTTGTGGCACACACTGAGAAGTGGAATTGCTGGGTCATATTGTAATTCCATGTTAATTCTTTGAGGAATGGCTGTGCTGTTTCACAGCAGCAGAACCATTGTATTTTCCCATCAACAAAGCACAAAGGTTCCAATCTCTCTACATCCTTGTCAACACATGTCCTTTCCTCTAATTCTGTTCACATTCACATCCTGATGGGTGGGCTAGGATTTTGATCTGACTCTAAGAAGATGAGTCGGAGTTGGGAGGGAAGGGAGTAAGTGTGTGAGTATGTGTGTTATAGACGCTGGAAAGGTTTGAAAAGGCCAGTGGTTTCTCAATGCAACTTAGGGTGTACCCCGAGGCCAGAGCTGCCCCTAACTGGAGCTCACAGAGTGTGGGGAAGAGGTGGCAGAAGATAAGATAAAGGTAGAGGTGAAAGCCCCTCACAGAGTCTCCATCCTAGCTGAGAAGCTCGGCTTGATTGCCCTGGTAATGGAGTCTGGGTAGCAACAGATCTCTCAAGTGTTGAGTCCTGGATGGACTATGACTACATACCTTATCAGATGTGACCAGGACAATTTATTCTGTCTGTGTCTTAGCTTCCTTTCCTGCATAATGAGAGTGGGGACGGAGAGGTTGTGGTAGCACCCATGAAAGAGAATGAATTAGTTGGCCAGACAAAGAAGTTTCCATCACGGGGAGGGGTTGGACTGTCCAGGGCAGAGGCCTCGGCACAGCACTGACTCACGCTGGCCTGCTCCCTGTCTTGCAGCTGGGACTCTGACCCATGGACCTTGGTTTGTATCTTCTCCTACTCCTTCAGCCATCCTGCAGCCAAGAGGATCACTGTAAAAGAGAAGACACAAGCAGCTGCAGGCATCCCACAAGGAGGCCTAAGGAGGCCTAAGGAGGCCCAGGCTGGTAGAAAGGCCTCCTGCTCGGTGCAAGGACAGCCACAACTCCATGACACATCAGTGTAGCTCTCCAAGGAAACCCCAGTCATCTATCCTGTCCCAGGTGGGGAAATGGAAGCCTCATGAGCATACCTTGTCCAGGGTCACCAGCTAGGAAACACCAAAACCAGGCTTCAGATGTATGAGTCACTGAGAGATTGGACTACATTCATTTACTCATTTCTTATCACTCAACAAATGTTTACTGCCCATTTCCCAGTGACAAGTACTGTGGTAAGAGTGAACGAAACAGTCCCTTTCTGTGGGCCTCTGAGAGGCCCTTCCCAAGGCCTAGGTATGACTCTGAACTCTTTTTTTTTTTTTTTTTTTTGGTTTTTCGAGACAGGGTTTCTCTGTGTAGCTTTGCGCCTTTCCTGGTACTCGCTTTGGAGACCAGGCTGGCCTCAAACTCACAGAGATCCGCCTGCCTCTGCCTCCCGAGTGCTGGGATTAAAGGCGTGCGCCACCACCGCCCGGCGACTCTGAACTCTTGCACTGAAAAGTAGATCATTTAATCTTCTCAGGAGTCAGGGAGATAGAATATTGCTTCATTTTCCAGGTAATCGTACTGAGACTTAAAGAAGGAGATGACTTTCCTGAGGTCCCCGTGCTGGTGAGGGATGGAGGCCATGGCTGATGCCTCTGACCACCAGCTCAGTGGTGTACTGTGGGCATGCTATCAGCTGTGACTTATGTGGCTACCAGGCCTGAAGTCAGAAGCCCAGCTCTCTATTTAAATACCAGCTTTGGTGGTGGTGGTAGTGGGGGCTGTAAGAGTCCCGCTGTGCCTCTGGGTTGCCATTGGTTGGATGCAGGACTGCCCATGTCCTCTGCCTAACTCCAGCTATCCTGTCACCCTGGGGACCGGGGTGTAGGTATGTTTGTTCCGTCTCTGCTGACGGCTCTTGGCAGGATCTGATAATGATAGAGACACCAGACATTTTCATAGCACAGCCAGAGGATGCTCTCTGTGGGGAAAGGTAGGAGGAGGAAGAGCTGGTCACGCCAGGTTGGGGGCACACCCTCCCTTCTTTCTTCACTGAGTGAGCGCTTCCTTGTTTGGGATTCTACTCTCTGAAAGCTTGAAGTATCTGCCTAAAGGCCGAGTCCCACCCCCACCTCCTCCCTGCAGCCTGGCCAAGCTGCGTAGGTCGTTCTTTTTCCCACTATACTCAGAGGACAGGGACCACATTTGGGTTGCAGACATTCTTGAGTGTCTGCTCAGAGTGGATGTCTGAGTATGGACCGGTCCTGATGCATCCCACTGATGCATCAGGACCCACTGATGTTCCTAGACCCTATCTCTCCACCTTACTTGCCCTCCCCGAGTTCCTCCCAGTAGAGAAGGAACAGAATTCCGAAGTCTGCTCTCCCGTCGGTTTCTGTCAACACAAGGTGGGCATGAAGGCGATTCCTGAGCCTGGGCTTTCCCAAGTCCGAGCAGAAATAAAAGGATTCTCACCAAGTGACAGGAACACTCTCATTAAACCCCAGGAAGGATCCTAAGGTCTGCGGGATCCCGAGAAGGGTCTCTGGCGAGGCCGCACTGGGAATATAAAAATGAATGAAAACGTCAGGGGGCAGCCAGCACGCTGGGGAGGTCCCACGTGGCGCGAAGCAGGTCTGTGCTTGCTGAATCACAACGCCCGGGTTGCGGGTTGCCTTGGCAGCACGCGATGTCAGGGCGGTGTTGAGTGCGGGGGTGGGGGCAGGCGGGAGGCCAGGTTCAGTGGGACTCCATGCCCCCCTCGCGCAACACCATGTCCACCACCACCCCGAAGTGGTTCAAAGGGGCGCCCTTCGGGGTGCAGAGTCACAGGTGCGGCCCAAGTGCTTCTTGGTCTGGCATCCAGAGTCCAAGGGAGTTCCTGTGGGCCCACCAGCTCCTCTGCCTCGGGAGAGGGAGGCTAATCCTGAGGCCTGGAGCCGGGGGAGGAAGGGAAGAGGGCTGGCTCGCCCCTCCCCCACCTCTCAAGGCTCTACCACACTGAGTCTTTCCTCCTCCTCCTCCTCCTCCTCCTCCTCCTCCTCCTCCTCCTCCTCCTTCTTCTCCTCCTCCTCTTTCTTTTTCTCCTCCTTCTTCTTCTTCCTCCTCCTCCTCCTCCTCCTCTCCCCAGCTCCTTCTTCTCACTATGTAGCCCTGGCTGGCATTGAACTCACAAAGGTCTGCCTGCCATTGCCCTCTGCGTGCTGGGATTGAAGGGCCTGCACAACCACTCCTGGCCTCTAAGTTCTTTTGCTTCCTGTTACACTTCTGTAATAAGTTCTTTAAACTATTTCTAGAACATCTTCTTTGTAACATATTCAGAGAGGCCATGTGCCCTGTCCATGAAACACTCAGCTAAAAAGTTCTGAGTGGGTTTGCAGCCCAGAGGTCATATTTCTTTCTTTTTTTTTTCTTTTCTTTTTTTTTTTTATTTTTGAGACAGAGTCTCTCTACATCACCCTGGCTGTCTTGGAACTCATTATGTAGACCAGGCTGGCCTCAAATTCACAGAAATCCACTTGTCTCTGTCTCCCAAGTGCTGGGATTAAATGTGTGCAACACTATGCCCAACTGTCATATTTCTCTTTATATTATATTTAATATAGTTGTGTATAAATGACCTGTGTGCCACACATGGTTCTAGGATCTGAGGTCATGAGGTGGTATGGATAATAATCATATATATATTATTAAAAGTATATTAGAGATGATATAAAGTGTACACTATGCAGTGTAGCTGTCTAGAGGTGGGGAGGAGGGTAATAAGGACTTGGGAACAAAGGATGAAGCTGTGAGGAGAAGCAGAGCTTAGGTGTGATGGTTAGTGGCAGAACATCTCTGGAACGCTCAAAACAATGAAACAGATCCAAAGTCACTTCCACGGGCCAGCTAAAGTCATCTCTCCTGGGAAACCAACTCCCTTGTCCCCCAGGGCTGCCCCAGCCGGGACCAGATGCCAGGCATTGAATTCTCACTTGGCTACGTAACTCCCTAGGTTTGATGTCTCTTCTGTTTATCCCAACAAGAAGAAGTTAAGCACCTTCACAGAGGCCCCGTACTCCAGGCATCATTCTGTGGAACAGGTGAGCCTGCCTCCTCTCACGTGGTCTGTGTCCCTCGCCCTACCCACCTGTGCATGCTCCCACCCAAGCCTGGCTCCCACTCAGTCTTCAGCTGTGTTTGACAAACTCCGGACTGGCGGAAAACCAGGAGTTTGGGGGCCGCAGGCTTCCTTCTAGACTTTAGCACCAGCCTGGTTCTACACTATACTTCCCTGAAGTGGAATGGGGCCAGTGACAGGGGCAGTCAGGACTGACTCCTGAGTGCAGAGCCCCTGAGTATCAGCTGGGGGGACTGTCTGGTTCCATTTCCAGCTCAAGGGAGACTTGGGGGAGGACTTGCTGGGGGGTGGGAGAGGCTAGGTAGTTATAACTGACTCAGCTCTGAGCCTGCTCTGATTTAGGCCCATATAGGACCTGGGACCTATAACTCCAAGGATACGTGCTTCAGTAAGAAGTTTCTGGAACAGAAGTTGGGCACGGGCTGGGCTCGGGCCCAAGAAGCCACTCGGCTGACCCAGCTACCCCACTTCCAGTACCAGTCCATCATGAAGGAAAGACAGCAGCAGGTGAGACTTGGAGCATGGTCCTCCCCACCTCCAGGAGCCAGGCTTTAGAGTCCTGGTGGACATAGCTTCCTCTTGGAGAGCACCATCATCCCTTGGGCTTCTTCCTGGCCGGACCTTCCCTGGTCTCTTCATCCTGCTGTCTCTTCTGTTGGGGCAGGTGCACAAGCTGGGGCCTGGCTCCTACAACTTCAAAGACTTCTTAACCCAGCTGCAGCAGAGACCACAGAGCAGGCGCGGGCTGCTCAGCTCCGGGGAGACCCGCTTCCGAGGACTCATCGGGGTAGGTGCTGTCACGTGTCTCTTCTAGTAACACAAACCACAGAACAAAGCAGGAAACACATATCTCGTCGGGGTGCGGAGGGGGAAATGACACAAGGAAGGAGAATGCTGTGAGGTGGTGTACAGAGAGCAGTCTGGGAAGGGCCCTCTGGAACAAAACGGCGGGTCGTCAGCAAAGGGGACGCCTGATACCTGACTCTTGTGCTAGAACGTTCCTGGAAATGGGAACAGTATAGACTAAGGACCAGAGGTGGGAATACGCTTGGCTAGTTGTTAGAACAACAGATAGGCTAGAGAGAGCTGGGGAGGTGGGAAATGAGAGGGTTCGGAGTGAAGGCTGTGAGGAGGGCCCTGCAGCCAAGGGAAGGCCTTCACGTGTCCTTCTGGGTGTTGTGAGAGGACACTGAGGTCTGGGGAGGCCAAGGACTTGACTGACAGGTTTCCTGCGTGTTGATTGCAGGGGCTGCTGACTTGGTTTCATCTGGTTGCTGTTAAGGCTTTGGATCAAGTCAGCACAGTTAGGGGCCCAGCTTCCTAACAATGGGGTTTTCTCTGGAACACACATGGCCCTCTGAGCCATGGGAGGAAGCAAGACCCATCTCATTCTTCTGGGGCCAGACAGATGGGCTCCTCAGGGTGGCCTGATTTTCCATGCACAGGTCCGGCCTCCTCTGGTAGGTCTGGCTCCCCTAGGGTCTGGTTGCTGGGCCCAGAGGTGAGGTGGGCTGCATCATCTGCGTAGCAGCAGTGCCACCATGTGGCTAAAAGGTGCATATCACCCAAGACAAGCCCCACCTCCCTGCACCACAGATGAACGCTGCCCACTGTACTTCAAAAACCAACTTCTGACCCTAGAAGCTAATCCAGGCCTCTGGTACTATCCTAACCACAGTTCCTCCGCCCCTAAAACTTCCAGTCACCACACCCTGATTTGTGTGATGGGACCTACTATGTGCCAGGCCCTGGGCAGAGGGCTTTGTAGACGTTCTGTTTTATCATCCTTCCCTGCAGGAAAGTATTACCATCTCTGCGTTAGTCCCATGGACCATGAGGCTCAGAGATCCAAACTCCCCCAGCTAGGAAGCAGCAGAGCCAAGGGTCCCAACCTAGGACTCTGGGTGCTCATCTATCCCAGCCTATTCACAGAACTGTAGGTGTGGGAGATGTACTCAGCCTGCAGACCAGCTAGCTGCCTGTGTGCTGGGGAGGAAAGTGTGGGTCCCAGGAGCGATGGTGTCTGGGGATCTTTGCAGGGTTGCTATGATTGCCCAACCAGAGGGTAGGAAGGGAATCCTGGGGTGTGTGTGTGTGTGTGAAAGCATGGTTAAGCAAACAAGAGCAAGGAGACCAGGCTGGATGCCAGGTGCTGAGGCGGCAATGTAGCTGGATTTGAGTTAAAGGTGTCATTGACGGAGGAGGCTCGCAGGTGATGCCGGGTGGTGGGGCGGGTAGCACACATGCACAGTCTGAAAACCTTGTTTCTCTTGAGATTTGAAACCCCAGGCATTTCTTCCTCAGGCGAACCAGCACAAAAAGTGGGCCTGACAGCCTTTGTGTTTCTGTCTCCTGCCCCGCAGAACTATTATCCAGGCCCTGGAAACTACGGGGAGAAGGGTAACCCATACACACGGCTGGAGGAGAACGCCTGGAACCGCTCACATTCCGAGGGCCTTATGTGTCGGATGTCCAACAAGCCGCCCCCCTTATCTCACCAGGTACCCCCCCACCAGGTTCATCCTGCGTGGTCCTGGAGGATGACCTCAGGGGCCGGGAGGCTCAAGTCCCACCTTGGCCACTCCCCTATGGGCACCGACACCACTTTTGTCTCTAGGGCAGTGGCCTGGGACCTGGGACCTACACCATCAAAAGTGGCATCGAGAGCTATGTGGCACGATCCACTGGTACTCGTGGCCCCTATGACATTTTCTCTGGTGAACGAAGCAAGCCTGTGCCGTATGGACATTATTCCACGCAGGTATGTGCCAGGGTGGGCGACTGTGAGGTCCACCGCTTCTGCCAGGGTGGGATATGGTTTAGGTGAGGGGCCAGAGTCAGGCTTTGCACATCTGATCCTGTGGCTGGCTCTCTCCTCAGCACCACCATGAACGGCACTGGCACTGATGGTCCAGCAGCCAGGCCTGCGGGGACCCCAAGGGCACAGGTGCCATGTCTGTCTGTAAACATTTCCCAGGCTTCCCGGACACAAACCTAGCTCAGTGAGTGCCAGGGCTCTGGGTGACAGAGCCCCAAAGTGGGAGAGAAGGTGACAGAGGTAGAGATTTAGCTTGCCAGACCCCTTTCCCATCCCATCCGAACCTTGCTACAGGATTTCACAGCTTTTTCTGTGTGTTGCTGTCTTCACGCTTATGGCTAAAGGGACCGCCGTACGTGTCCAGACCTGTCTGTCCTGCCCCCACCATGGGGTCCCTGCGTGAGCAGGATTAGAGCGGTTCACAGACTAGGTGCAGGGAAGCAGCCCCTGTGGAACTTCCGGTCGAGGGGAAGAGAAGCACCATCAGCCAGGAGTAGAAGAGAACCTGCAGCGTTAGTGGGAAGCCACTGTGGAGGCAGATGGCGGTAACAGCACTAGGAAGGAGATGGTTAAAGTGGAAATACCTGTGAGCCGCTTGGTAAAAAGTCACCATCCTGTCCCATGACAAGGCTGATCTCAGGGCCTCCCAGATCTACTTACCACTAAGGCCATGTGCCCAGCACGGCAGGGCCTTGGGAACCACCTGGGCCCCCTATACCCCACCCCTCCATCCTCCCTCCATCCCCCCACCCCTCCATCCTCCCTCCATCCCCCACCCCTCCATCCTCCCTCCATCCCCCACCCCTCCATCCTCCCTCCATCCCCCACCCCTCCATCCTCCCTCCATCCCCCACCCCTCCATCCTCCCTCCATCCCCCCACCCCTCCATCCTCCCTCCATCCCCCACCCCTCCATCCTCCCTCCATCCCCCACCCCTCCATCCCTCCACCCCTCCACCCTCCCTCCATCCCCCCACCCCTCCATCCTCCCTCCATCCCCCACCCCTCCATCCTCCCTCCATCCCCCACCCCTCCATCCTCCCTCCATCCCCCCACCCCTCCATCCTCCCTCCATCCCCCACCCCTCCATCCACCCTCCCTCCATCCCCCCACCCCTCCACCCTCCCTCCATCCCCCCACCCCTCCATCCTCCCTCCATCCCCCCACCCCTTCATCCTCCCCACCCCTCCATCCTCCCTCCATCCCTCCACCCCTCCATCCTCCCTCCATCCCCCCACCCCTTCATCCTCCCCACCCCTCCATCCTCCCTCCATCCCCCCACCCCTCCATCCTCCCTCCATCCCCCACCCCTCCATCCCCCCACCCCTCCATCCTCCCTCCATCCCCCCACCCCTCCATCCCCCACCCCTCCGTCCTCCCCACCCCTCCATCCTCCCTCCATCCCCCACCCCTCCATCCTCCCCACCCCTCCATCCTCCCTCCATCCCCCACCCCTCCATCCTCCCTCCATCCCCCTCCATCCCCCCACCCCTCCATCCCCCCACCCCTCCATCCTCCCTCCATCCCCCACCCCTCCATCCCTCCACCCCTCCATCCTCCCCATCCCTCCATGCCCTGTTGCTACTACAGCCAGGGCCGGACATCTTTGTTATGGATTTTATTTTTTAGGGCAATTTTAGATTCACAACAAAATTGAGAGGCAAACAGGGAGTTTCTGCGTACTCTTTGCCTCCTGTACCACATGCAGACCCCTCCCCCATGAATCTTTTAAAATGTACATTCATTATTTCTTTGGGCGTGCGGGGTTGTTTCATGGCATGCTTGTGGAGGACAGAGGACAACTTTCAGGAGTCAGCGCTCTCCTTCAACAGGTAGAAGGAGATCAAACTCCTTGGGTCCTGAGATCCAACCCAGGAGTTCAAGCTTCACTGCAGGCCCTTTACCCATCCTCGTCCCCCCTCCGCTGTCAAAGTCCCACACCAGAGTAGCGCATTTGTTAGTCAAGGATCCTCAGGTACACGCCATCCTTACCACAACCAGTAGTTTTACAAACTGATTCTCTTCATGGGAGCCATTCTGTGCGCTGGGTTTTCTTTTGTTTAGTTTTTCATTTTCATTTTCTTTCCTTCCTTCCTTTTTTTTTTTTTTTTTTAAAATCTGGGCATGATCTCATATACCTTTAATCCCAGCATTCTAGAGGCAGAGGCAGTTGGATCTCTGTGAGTTGGAGGCTAGCCTGGTCTATACAGCAAGTTCCAAGCTAGCCAAGGGTACATAGTGAGATTCTATCTCAAAAAACAAAACAAAATAAAAATCTAAAAGATTTGTTTATCTATCTACTATCTATCTATCTATCTATCTATCTATCTATCTATCTATCTATCTATCTATCTGTGTGTGTGTGTGTGTGTGTGTGTGTGTGTGTGTGTGTGTGTGTGTATACACACCCTGGCACGTGTGTGGACATCAGAGAGCAACTCTTGAAGCGAATCCTTTCCCCACAGAGCTTTCCTGCCAGCCCATTCTGTGAATTTGGACTCTTGTGTTTGGACACAGTAGTTTCACTAGCTGGGGGGCGGGGGGGGGGGGGGGGGATCTGTGCTCAGACTTGGTTTTAAATCTGTGAAATATCATCCCTGACTGGCACAGTGGGTGCTGAGTACGTGAGAGACAGAAAAGAAAGGCATGGACAAAGGCCCGCCGCGTGGCAGTGTGTGCACACGCCGGCCTGATGTCAGCACAGTCCGATCTGGCACAGAGAGGTGAGTGGTACCTCGTCAGTGCCACTTGCTTTTCTGTGAGGGCTCTTGAGCCTGTGACCTTCCTGCGACAACATTTCTTTTTCTCTTCCCATCCCTCAGAAAAAGAAACCCCGGGAACCAACGAGTTACAAGAGCTTCGTGGACGAACTTAGCTCAGCTCACAACAAGAAACGTGGGGTTTTTTCAAAATATCCCCGAGAACCGAAAAATCCCACAGAGAGAATTTTTTGGACTACCCTTAGTCAGTACCCCAGAAATATGGTCAGTGTACCCCACGGTCTGTTTTCTCTCTTGGAAGGCAGCTCTCCAGTAGGCTAGGGAGGTTGGGGGAGGAGGGGTGCAGCGGTCAGGTCGGGTGGGAAGCTGTGTCTTTGGTTGCCAGCCTGGCCTTGCACTGGTCAGTCACTTTCTGAGCCCCACTTTGCACACCCGACCTGTGAATGCAGCCAGAGTTTGAGCAGCTGTGATTAGGACGACTGGTGTAGACCCTGTAGCTGAACCAGGCCACCAGGAAATCCCGGCCAGTGATGTTTTCCTCCCTGCCCTCCCTCCCCTGGCCTTAAAGATCTGGAGAATGGGCAAAGAAGGCTGGGTAGGATGGAGTGTGATAGGGTCCATCCTCAGATTTGCCTACCTGCTCTACCCAGGGAGGGGCTGGGCTCCACCTCCTCAGGGCAGTCCTCTCTGGGGCACAGTGGCCAGTTCTCTGAGTGGGACCTGGCAGGGTCTGCCCCAAGGGAAGAAATGAAGTAGGGGAGGCAAAGGGCATGGACACTCTGACCCCCTGCTAAACCGCTGTCCATCCTTCTCCCAAGGGAGGTTGGGAGGAACACCACTTGCATTCCACAGAAGGAAACCGGGGCGCAGACCTTGGAAAGGGTTCACTGGGTTCCCCAGTAGGGCCTGGAGATCTGAAATAGGACCTAATTGTTCTGCTCCAGAGTCAGTGTGCCTCAGTCCCAGGCTGCTGTTCAGAGCACATCTCTGCTCATCTCAAGGGCCCCTGGGAACCTGTAAAGGGGTGTCTGGTTGGGGGTGGGTAGAGTGGGTGGTATGAGACATGCCCGACTTGAGGGTACTTCCCTTACCTCATCCTTTGACAAAGGCCCAGCGGTGCTGGACGGATGAGGTCAACTGCCATCAACCCTCAGTTATCCCACCTGGGCTGAGATTTCTATCCCGGCTTCCTCAGTCACCACCCTTCTTTACCCCTAGGATATAGCTGGCCCTGGTTCTTGGACTCCTCATGAGACGGAACAGAAACACGTCAATCGGCCACCATTCCTCCTGGCCTCCAAGCGCTCAGGCAATAAGGCCTACCAGATGATTATGGGAAGCTGGGTGAGTGCGTCTGGGTTAGGGGAGCATGGTGATGGACAGGGAACTTCTCCCACCTCTCCAGACAGTCCCAACCCTTTGTGCCCCTGACACGGAAGCTCCTTGGGCCCAACATTATCTCTGTCACCCACTCACCCTCTTATTTTTCTAGTCACTTTTTCTCTAGGGTCTCCAACTTGAGCAGGCATGGGGGCTTGTTAAGGGTCGGGTCAGTGGGCCTGTGCCCGGGCTTCTGATTCACTCTGCCTTGGAGTGGGGAGGGCAGGAAACGACTCTTCTAACAAGTTCCTGGGGTGTACTATTTTCCTTTCCTGTCGCTGTCATCGGGCAATCCCCTCAAAGCCACCTCTATGGGAGTGAAGGCTTACTAGGCTTCGAATTCCAGGCCACAGTCAGTCATGGCAGGGGAGTCACGGGGTAGCTAGTCACATTACAGCCGCAGTCAACAGCAGAGAGGAATGCATCGATGCATGCATGCCTCCTTGTGTCCAGCCCCCTCTCTGCGCTTACACAGTTCACAACCCAAACACGGAATGATGCCACCCACAGTGGGTGAGCCTCCATTACCACGTCATCAACAACCCCCGCCCCCCCCCACACTCACACACACACACACACACACACACACACACACACACACACACACACACTCACACGCCAACTCAATCTAGACAACTCCTCGTTGAGATCCTCTTCCTGTACGATTGTAGGCTGACGACAGTTAACACTGATAAGCACACACAGGCCACCCTCTGAGAACCAAAGAGCTGAGAGGCCCCACCCACCCTACAGCTCTCCCATTCCCTTCCCTTCCCTGGGCAATGCTTTTCCCTGCTCTCCATTAGTCTTGGGGCCTGGAGGGCAGCTGGTGGAGATGTTACCTCATTTCTTATGCCCGAGTGAACAAGTCCTCTTCTGTTCCCTTCCCTCCCCGGCTCTTTGCTGTCCCCGGGTGAGTGATGATGCCCTCAGTTTGGTAGTGTTTTCCAGAACAGGCTAGTCCTAGCATTTGTGAACACTTCTTAAGCCCCTCCCCCGCCAGCTTTTTAGTGCACATTTATCAATCATATCAATCCAATAATCATACACAAATCCTAAATGAACAGTTCCATGAGTCACAAAATCGTCTTAGCCCATCCATTCACTGGTCTTGCTTCCTGCCTCCAGCAGTATGGGGAGACTTTGTCCAGATTTGAACTTGCTGTTTTTTTTTTTTTTTTTTTTTTTAAGATTTATTTATTTATTATGTATACAGTGTTCGGTCTGCACATATCCTTGCAGGCCAGAAGAGGGCACCAGGATTCATTACAGATGGTTGTGAGCCACCATGCGGTTGCTGGGAATTGAACTCAGGACCTTTGGAAGAGCGAGCAGTACTCTTAACCTCTGAGCCATCTCTCCAGCCCCCGAACTTGCTGTTTTTAAGATCTTTCCTGATTTGTGACAGTCACTTTTTGCCATTGTGGAAAAAAAAAAAACCTCTGAGCCAAGTGAACTGAGGGAGGAACCATTTCTTTCAGTTCAGAGGTTTCAATCCACAGCAGCTGACTCCATTGCTGCTTTAGGGTTAGGGTAAGACAGAAACACCATGGTGGAGGGAAACTGCCCCCCTCATTGTAAATGGGAGCAGAGAGAGAGAGAGAGAGAAGTTGAGGGGGGCGATAGGGGACAGGGTCCTATTATACTCTTCAAAGGCATGCCCCCAGGGAGCAGCTTCCTTGTCTAGGCCTTACCTTCCAGTAGCCATCATAATCCATTCACCATTAAACTGCATGATTAACTGGGGACCAAGACTTTGGGGGACACTTCACATCCAAGCCATATTCAAACCAAACTTCATATCCATAACATGGTCTCTCTGAGACACATCTTGCTTTTAATTTACTTGCCTGAGCTTTATTATTCTGCTTTCTATCTCAGCACCCCACATGCCAACCCAATCTAGACAACTCCTCATTGAGATCCTCTTCCTGTATGATTGTAGGCCGTTGACAGTTAAAACGGGCTTTGTCATTAACCCACCTCCAAGCTTTCAGAATCTCAAGTCAAATGCTTAGCCTACCATCTAGGGGCGGGGTGGGAGGTGGGGGTGGTGGAGCTGTGTTGGGTGAAGATGAAGGGAGCTTGAAACCATCATGCCGTGGTCAAGAACAGAGAGAAGTGCCCACATGTGAGCTGCTCGGCTTATTCTCTCTGCTCTTGTGTGGTCCAGGACCCAAACCCAGAATGGTATTGGCAGGTTGGATCTTCCCACATTAATTAATGAAATCAAGACTATCCTCCACAGGCACGCCCAAGGCCAACCTGATCCAGGCAATCTCTTGTGGTGACTCTTCCTAGGTGACTCTAGATTGTGCCAAGTTGACAATTAAAGCTAACTTTCACAGCCAGCCATGCAAAGTGGAAGGAAGGACTATGTGAGGGCCAGTTCCAGAGGCAGGGCGGGAAGGCCCCCTCTGGACACTCCTGCTTGAGAATGGCCTAGACTGATCTTCTTACCTCCCATGCTTCTCTGTCATGACCTTACTATGTCATCTTGAAAGTTATGTCTTGTCTCTGAGCCTCTCTTATGGCAGACCCAAGGGCAGGATGGCCTAGGTGTCATTCAACAAACCGGGCAGCCTGGTGAATGGAGCTGTCCTCTCACAGCTCTGGATGCTGGAAGACCAGAGTCCATACTGCCTATGAAACTGATAGTTTCATGAGTATCCTTCCTTACCTCTTTGCAGCTTTTGGTGGCCAGAGACCCTTGGCTCTCCCAGCTTATGACTGGACCACTCTGATCTCTACTTCTGTGTATGATCATCTCCCCCATTGAGTGCCTTGTCTTACAAGGACCCCTGTCATATTAGACCAGGGTCCCACCTGCTCCAGCATGATCTCATCTCAGCCCATTATATCTGCAACACCCCAATTCTCCAATAAGGCCACTAAGATTATGGCTTAAGCACATTTCTGGGGGTGGGGAGGGACACAAATTTGATTCATAACAGTTGGGGGAGTGTCTGGGGCCTGAAGGGAGGAGAAAAGGCCTGAGGGCAAGTCTCCAAAATGTGCTCACTAACATCCTGTTGTATTCTCCCTGCACAGAACCCAGTTGGGGTAGGCCGCTACCTCAACACCACGCTAATGGAGACCAAAGACAGACGGCAGCGATACCGCTCTCTGTTCCTGAACGGATCCAAGCGCTACCTGCAAGACCTAAGCCGAGACCAACTCATGCAGTGAGTCTAGCTGGAGCTCCTGGAGGGGGCTGAGGGGAGGTAGTATGACCCTTGGTGGCCTGGAGGAGGGGCATGTTCGGTTCCCATGCCAGCCACACAGCAGAGACCCTGGAGACATTCAGTTTAGATCTTGGTTTCATGTGCCCTTCATGCTTAGGCACGTACTGGCTGTGGGAGGTGGTCTGAGCTTTGTGTCCTTCTGCTGTTAAGTGAGCGGATGGCTGAGAAGATGGGGTGATCAGTCTAGGGTGAGGAAAAGGCTCCTGGTTCAATCCTCTACCACCAGGTTTAGCCCTAGGTGCTCGCATCTCACAGAACCCCAGGTTCTTGGTGTTTGTCAAGGCTTGGTAAAAGTCATTTTAGGGCACCGTGAAGCCTAAGCATGAAGGGCACATGAAACCCTGTGGCAAATGATGAAGAAGTCACAGATATCAGCGACTGCCATGTTTTATTGATCTAAGAGTCCGTTGGCTAAAATAGAATTTCCATTCTAGATTTGCTTGAATTTGATGGAACGAGCACTTTAGAATTGAGTGTTTTCTTTCTGGGAAATTACGGAGTGGACATTCTGAGGACCCAGTGCTGGGCACCAGATGATTTGCTCAGAGATTTGTTTGTTTGTTTCTTTTCCCATTTTTCATGTGTGTGTGGGTGTGTGTGCATGTGGTGGGTGTGTGTGCGTGTGTGTGGGTGTGCGTGTATGCATGTTTTTGCATGTGTGTGCGTGCCTATGCATGTGGAGACCTGAGGTTGATATTGAGATTCATTCTGAAGTACTTTTCCACCTTTTTCATTGAGGCAGGGTCTCTCAATCAAACCCAGAGCTCACTGATACGGATATTCTTGCTGGTGAGCTTGCTCTGGGGATCCCTGCTCTCCATTTCCCTAGGTGAGCGTTAGAGGCAGGCTACTCTACCCACCCAGCATGGGATTCTGGGGATCCCAACTCTGGTCCTCATGCTTTTCTGGCAACCAAGCCCTTTAATTGCTGAGCCATCTCTAGTTTTTAAATGTAATTTTTTTTAAAGTTGTCTTTTTAAAGATTTATTTATTATGTATACAGTGTTCTGTCTGCACATATCCCTGCAAGCCAGAAGAGGGCACCAGATCTCATTACAGATGGTTGCGAGCCACTATGTGGTTGCTGGGAATTGAACTCAGGACCTCTGGAAGAGTCATCTCTTAACCAGCCAGTGCTCTTAACCATTGAGCCATCTCTCCAGGCCTTAAATGTAATTTTAAGACGGTATTATTTGTGTAAAAATAGTCTTCCTTGATTTAATCCTTTGTTTGGGGGTTCTTAAGGCAGGGCAGTGGGAAGTAAGAGTTTTAATAGATTTCACATGTGAAGATGCTGTTTACTTTCCTCTCATTCACGACTGATCCATAGTCTGGTTGGAAATAACCAAATTAGGATTCATTTTCCTTCAGGATTCGGAAGGTTTTGCTGCACCCTTTCTAATTCCCAGCTTGGTTCTATACCATTCTGGCTTGTGCATGTGACCTGCGTGTTTCTTTCTGGAAACTTCCAGGACCTTCTTTGTCCCTGGTGCTCTGAATCTTCATGGTGATGTGCTGTACTGTAGTCTATTTTCAAGCATTGTGCTGGGCAATTGGTGTGCTCCAGTCATGTGGAAGCTCAGGTCCTTCTCCTCTGGGGAAGTTTGATTTTGAGGTTTTGTCTGTGATGACTTCTAATGCCCCCCTTTTCTTCTCTCTTTTAGAAATTTGTCAAATGTCTTTATTTGGCATTCTTGGGTTTTTTTTTTTACATGTATACATGTGTGTAGTGTGTGTGTGTGTATGCATATGAGAATGTGTGTGGGTCCATGTATATGTGCAGGTATGCATACATGTGCACATGTGTGTCAAGACTGAAGTTGACGTCAGTGTCTTGATTTGATTTACTGAGGCAGGGTCTGTCAGTGGAATCTAGAACTCCTGGATCAACTAGTCAAGCTAGCAGGTTAGCTCAAGGACTCCCTCTCCTACCTCCCCTTTCTGCCTCCCAAGTACTGTGTGTAGCCGGAAGTTTTCTCCGGTCTCGCTTATTCCCAAGGTCCCAGAGCTGCTTATAAAATAATCATTCAGATGGGGCTGGAGAAATGGCTCAGAGGTTAAGAGCACCAACTGCTCTTCCAGAGGTCCTGAGTTCAATTCCTAGCACCCACATAGTGGCTCACAACCATCTGTAATGAGATCTGGCACCATCTTCCGTATACATAATAAATAAATAAATCTTTAAAAAATCATTCAGAGGCTTAATATTAATTACCAATTGCGTGGCTTATAATTTGAGCCATTTCTACTAATCTATAAGTTGCCACATAGCCATGGCTTACTGGTACTTTTACATCTTGCTTTTTCTGGTGGCGACTGGCATCTCCTTCCTCTCCTTTCTCCTTCTACTATCTCTTGGATCTTCCTGCCTGGCTCCATCCTGCCCTGCCATAGGCCAATGCAGCTTTATTTATCAACCAATCAGAGCAACACATATTCACAGCGTACAGAAAGACACCCCACAGCAGCTGTGATTACAGGAGACTATTACCACCACCTGGCTTCTACATGAACTCTGAGGATCCGAACTCCTGTCCTCACACTTGGAAGGATGAACTTGACATGCTGAGCCATCTCCCCGGCTCCTAGTTTCTTGTTTTCTTTTTTTCTTCTTCTATGTCTGCCTTCTCTGTTCTTTCTGGTAAGATTTCCTGGTCCTAGTTTTCTAGCCCCGATTTTATCATATTTTTAATCTCCAAGAGCCTTCTGTCTTATCACTTGCTCTTTTTTCTTTCATAGAGCAGTTCTGTGCTGTTGATGTAGGATGCTTTCTTATCCAAGGACACTCTCTTATCCAAGGAGATATTACAGTTTTTCCTAAGCGTGTTGTCTCCAGCTCTTCTGGGCTCTTCCTTTTCTTCCCTTGTTCACTCACATTCAAGAGAAACACACTGCAAATGCCCCTCTAAGTCTAACGGGAGAGGGGCTGACGGGATCCATCATTCACCTGTCACGCTTCCAGGGCTTTCTCTGGGACCACTGGGATTTCCTGGAGGAGAATCTTCCGTCCCGGTGAGGCTGGTGCAGTGTGAGTGCTCTGGGGAGGAAGGCTGGGCTCCTCCTGACAACTGTGCTCCTCCCCTTCCTTGGCCCTCTGCTGTTGCCCGGGCCCAGCCCCTGCCCGGAACCTTTCCACAAGCTGACCTGCTGTATGTATCAGGTGGGGAAGAAGAAGGCGAGGCGCCAGTGTGGGGCTGGTACAGCTTTCCATCTCCATCTTCAGTGTTGGTCTTGGGCCTGCTGTCTGCACTTCCTGGGCCTCCCTGGGGTCTATGGAGGGGCTGCATTTCCTCCTGGCCCAGATCTCTCTTTTCATCTTCACAGGCAGGCCGACTCTTCCTTCTCTGTGCATTTTCTCAGACACATTTACCCCCACAACCCTGAGTCCCCTCATTCCTCCCCTTTCTCTACAGTTGGCCTAGTCTTTAAGAATTCTTTTGGGGGCTGGAGAGATGGCTCAGAGGTTAAGAGCACTGACTGTTCTTCCAGAGGTCCTGAGTTCAATTCCCACACGGTGACTCACAACCATCTGTAATAAGATCTGGTGCCCTCTTCTGGCCTGTAGACATATATGCAGGCAGAACATTGTATACATAATAAACCTTTAAAAAAAAGAATTATTTTAAATACATTTTGGTGGATCTCAGGTGGGAGTGGAAATAAATGTACATATCACCTGCAATTTTAGAATAAAAAAGATTTATTTTATGTGTATGAATGTTTTACATGAATGTGTGCACAGCATGTGCGTGCCTGGTGCCTGTGGAAGTCAGAAGAGGGCATCGGATTGCTTGAAACTGGAGTTTCAGATGGCTGTGAGCTGCCATGTGGGTGCTGGGAACCATACCCAGGTCCTCTGCAAGAGCAGCAAGTTCTCTTAAGAGCTGAACCCTCTTTCTTGCCCTTCACCTGTCATTAAGGAACACTAATACTTTTAGTGTATAAAAACACTTGTCACCTTTCTGGCCAAGGTGCTTAGTCTTATTTTACACATATTAAACCAAGACCAGAGAGAGGAAGGAAGGGGGTAGGTTGCCCAAAGTCACACAGCTGGTGAGCAGCAGATTGAGGACTAGAAGCCAGTCTGTCCTCTTCTAGGTCGGCAACTATTCTCCCTTGTCAGGCCCTTGTGAGGATTTGGGAGCCTAGGAAGAGTCATGCCTGGATGATCAAAGGTGTGTGTGTGTGTGTGTGTGTGTGTGTGTGTGTGTGTGTGTGTGTGTATGCGTGTGGGGAAGGGTGTGCATGCACATGTGTGTGTGTATGTGTGAGTATGAGTCACATGTATGTGCACATATGTGAGAGTAGGGTGTGCACATGTGTGTGCATGCATGTAGGGTCTGGGTGTGAGTGTACAAGTGTGTATATGCATGTAGGGATGTGGGTGTGAGTGCACATGTGTGTGGTGTGTGTGGGTCGCACATACATGTGTGTACATATATGTGGAAATGTGGATGTGAGTTCCCATGTGTGTGCATGCACATGGGGATGGGTTTGCATGCATGTGTATGTGGATACATGTGGGAGTGTTGGGGTGCATGCACATGTGAGTGCATGTGTAGGGGTCAGTGTGAGTGCACATGTGTGTGCATGGATGTGGAGGCTGGAGGTTGGGTGCAGGGAAGCATTCTCATCCGTCCTTACTCCTCAAGGGAGCTGTCTTAGGGTTTCTATTGTGTGAAGGGACACCGAGACCATGGCAACTCTTATAAAGGAATTTAATTCAGGCTGGTTTACAGTTCAGAGGTTTAGTCCATTATCAGCATGGCAGGAAACATGGTGTATGAAGGCAGACATGGTGCTGGAGAGGAGCTGAGAGTTCTATATCTGGATTCATAGGCAGCAGGAAAGGCTGAGACACACTAGGCCTGACTTGAGCTTCTGAGACCTAAAGTCCTGCCCACACACACACATGTGGCTCACCTCCACCAAACATACTC